TACACAGACAGAACATCGCGCGTGTCTTTTTCCCCTGAGACCAAGTTTCACTACAAACAACATCGGCGTGTCTCTCCCACGGAACAAGTACACAGACAGACATGGAGGGGTCTTATTGCCGTACATTAAATACACAGACAAGGACAACGCGTTAGTCTTTTTCCCCTGAGACAAATACACAAGCAGATCATCGGCTGTGTCTCTTCCCCTGAGACAAGGTACACAGTACAGGAGGACAACGGGATAGCCCGCGGGTTACTATACCGGCGATGGCGGTAGATGAGATATCGCGTGGTCTTTTTCCCCCGAACATATACACAGAACAGGACATCGTAGTCTTTTCCCATGATACAATACCACCAGACAGACATCGTTCGTGTCTTCCTTCCCGCCCTGAGAACATTACACAGACAACAACCGACGTATACTTTTTCCGCTCTGACAATACACAGGGACAGAACAACACGTCTCTTTTTCCCCTGAACCGCATTTACATCAATCAGACAATCCCGTCGTGGCTTTGTTCCACCTGAGACACTACACAGGACAACATCGTTCGTGTTCTTTTTCCCCTCGAGACAAATGATCACAGACAGACATTCGGTACGTGCTTTTTCCGCCTTGAGACAATACACAGAACGACATCGGCGTGTCTCTTCCCCTTCAGACATATACACAGACAGACATCTGCTTGTTCTTTTCCCCTAACAAATTCACAGACAGACATAATCGTCTGTGTCTTTTTCCCCTGAACAGTACCAGGAAACAATTTCGTGTTCTTTTCCCGAACAATTACACGAACACACTATCGTACGTGTCTTTTTCTCCCTTAAGACACTAACACAGACAACATCGGCGCAGTGTCTTATACTCCGCCTAGATCAATTACTACAGACAGACATCGGCGTTGTGCTTTCCCCGTAGACATGACACAGACACCACTCGCGGTCTTTTCCCCGAACAATACACAGACAGACATCTGGCGTTCGTCGTTTTTCCCTGAAAGACAATACACAAGAGACAGACATTCGGCTGTGTTCTTTTCCCCCTGAGACAAATACACAACAAGACATCGGTTTCTTTTTCCCCGGAGACAATACAACAGACAGACATCGAGTCGTGTCTTTTCCCCTGAACACACACAGCAGCAGTACATCGTCTTCTTTTTGCCCTGAACCACAGATACACAGACAGAAACAATCAGCTGGTGTCTTTTTTCTCCCTTCCCTTGAGACACTACACAGCAGCACAGACATCGTCGTTGTGCGCTTTTTCCCCCATGAGGAAAACAACAGACACAGACATCTTTCATGTCTTTAGTGCCCCCTGAGATCAACTGTACACAGACATGACCATCGGCCGTTCTTTCTCCCCTGAGAACACATACACAGACAGACACGCAGTGTCTTTTTTCCCCTGAGAAACCAATACACAGACAGAACATCTCAGGTGCTTTATCCCCGAGACAACTACACAAGGACAGAGCATCGGTAAGTGTTCTTTTTCGCCACTGAGACCAATTACACAGAAACATGTCGTTGTCTTTTTTTTTTCCCCCTTAACCCACACAGACCAGACATCAGCGCGGTCTTTTCCCCTGAGGATCAATCACACAAACCAGACAATCGCGCTGGTCTGTTTTTTCCCCTGAACAATACCACAGGCAGAATCGGCTTGTGGGCACTGATGCGAGGGTGATATTGAACAAAGGCAAGGCGAAAATAAGCACAGATCGGTCTTTTTCCCCGTAGACAAACACACGACACAACATCGTCTGTTGGTCTTTTCCGCTTAGACACACACAGGACACGAGTCGGGCAGTGGATGAAGATCAATAAGTACGTGTTTTATCCCGCTGAGGACAAAAGCACAGACAGACATCGGCGTCTTTTTTCCCCTATGTGAGACACTACTATTCAGAAACATCCGGGCCATTCACATTTTGTGTGTACTAATACGCTTGGGCTTTTCCCTGAGACCAATACACAGAACACATCGGGCTTTAGGCCGATATTGTGGGGGGGTAAACGTGTTTTTCCCCATGAGACGAAATACACAGAAGCACGCGGATCGATTCGGAACCGCATGTACTTATTTCACCCTGAGACAAAAATACAACAGACAGACACGGCCGGTGATCTTTTTCCCTGAGACCAATACACAAGACAGACATCGGGTGTTGTCTTTTGCCCTGAGACAATACGACAGACAACGATTCGGAATTGCTGTCTTATTTTTCCCGTGAAACAAAACACGAATCAGACATCGGGGGTATGTCTTTTCCCTTGAGACAATACACGGACAACATCAGCGCTGAGCTCTTTTCCCCTGAGACTAACTAACACAGACACGACTATTCGTCGATGTCTTTTTCCACGCTGGAGACAATACACAAGACACACATCGTCGTGTCTTTTCCCCTCTTAAACATACACAGAACCAAGCATCGCGAGTGTCGTTTTCCCCTGAGACAATACACAGACACACATCGGCGTGTCTTTCCCCTTGAGAACAATACCACAGACCAAGCATCGTCACTCAATATCAAATCCAGTGCATTCCGATGAACGTGTTTCTATTTCCTCCCCCTGGAGACATCGACACAGACAGAACATCGGAGTGGTCTGTTTCCCCTAGAGGAGCCCAATACGACAGCACACATCGAATCATTACGACACGAGCGGGTGGAAAGCATATGAACGTAGGGGGAGTTCGAGGGGCTGTTCTTTTTTTTTCCCCTTCACCACTACACAGGGTCCGTGGACATCGGACGTGTCATTTTTCCCCTGGACAATAACAATGACAGAACAAGTACGGCGTGTGTCTTTTTCTCGAGCCTGAGACAATACACAAGACAGACATACGAGCCGGGTGTTCTTGTGCCGCTGCTGAAAGCACAACACAGAACCAGACACTCGGAAGTGTCGGAATATAGTTTCTTTTTCCCCCTGAGATCCATTACACAGCACACAATTGTGCGTTCTTTTTTTCCCTAGACCCTACGAGCAGACAGACATCGGCGTGTCTTTTGTTACCCTCGAGACCAGATATCACAGGACAAGACATGTTCGGGCGGTGTCGTATTTCACCGCTGAGGACATACACAGAAGACAACTCGCAATGTCTTTTTCCCCTGAGACAATACACGAGACAGACATCGGGCGTGTCTTGTTTTCCCCTGAGACAATACAACACGGAAGACCACATCGTGTGTCGTCTTTTTTCCCCTTTAGAACTACACAGACAGACGTCGACTATGATGGTCTTATCACCCAGAAGGAGCGTGCGATAGAGAACAATACACAGACAGTGAACTCCGCTAAGTTCGTGTCTTTTTCCTCATCGAGACAAATACACAGAGCAAGACAATCGGCGTTGTTCTTTTCCTTTTGAGATCTCATTACACATCAACATTTCGGTCTCTATTATAAATATGACTAGAGTCGTGTCGTTTTTCCCCTGGAACAATCACACAGTACAGGACCATCGTGCTTGTTCACTTTTTCCCCAGACAAAGTACCACACAGTAAACGATACGGGCCGGTCTTTATCCTTTTTTTTTTCCCCTGAGACAATACACAGACAGCATTGACGAGGAAAGTGAGTTGTCTTTCTCCCCATGAGAACAATACACAGGACAGACCATTCACCGGCGTGTCTTTTCCACTTGAGACAAATACACAGGAAACATGCACGGAACGTTCTTTGCTTCCCTGAGGACCTAATACGACAGACAGAACATCAGCGGAGGTCATTTGTTCCCCTAGGAACCACGAGGAGCAATCCGAGACATGGCGGGATAGATAAATACTTCTTCCCACTGAAGACAACCCCCCCCAAAGATACACAGACAGACAGGATCGCGGTATCTTTTTTCCCCTGAGAACAATTACACAGACATACGAGTACGGCGCTGTTCTTTTTCCCCTGAGACCAAAGTTTACACCAGACAGGGAACATCGGGGCAGCGAGCGAGTAGGCTTTTCCCCAGAAGACATAACACAGACAGAAGCATCGAGCGGGTTGTTCTTTTTCCCCACTGAGAACCAATACACAACAGATCATCGGCGATGGGTTGCTTTTTCCCTCTGAGGACCTCCAATACACAGACAAGACACTTCGTCTTGTCTTTTTCCCCTTAGACAAAATGCAGCAGACAGACATATCGTTCTTTCTTTCTTCCCTATAGATCAATACACGAATCAGGACTGTATCGGCGTGTCTTTTTCCACCTAGTGACAATCACAGACAGTTTTATTCTAACGCAGGTCTTCTTTTGCCCTCTAAACCAATACACAACAGACATCGGGGCTGTCTTTTTCCGCCTGGAACAAAACAACAGACAGAATCGGAATCGGAGAAGCTGGGTTTTTAGTCCTGAGACAATGACCACAGACCGACATGCGCTTATCTATAGGTAACTATTTTCACCCTAGGACAACAATACCACAGACAGACATCGGGGCGTGTCTTCTATCCCTGGGAGACAATACACATCAAAACATCCGACTAGTCATCAGGAGGGTGAAAACGGAGAGTCGGTAGGAGGACGTTAGGGAGAAAGGTAATACAGCGTGTCTTTTTTCCCCAGACAATACACAGACAGTACATCGAGTGTCTTTCCCCCTGAGCAATACACGACAACTTTCGTTTAGTCTTTTTTCCCCTATAGACAAATACACAGAACCAGACATCGCCAGGTCTTTTCCCCTGAGACATAACACAACAGACATGCGCGTTCTTTTCCCCTGAGACAATACACAGTACAACATCGGCGTATCTCTGCTTCCCGCTTGAACCAATCACACAGAGAGACATCGGCGGTGTCTTGTTCTTCCCCTGTAGACCTAATACACAGACAATCGCTGGCGGTTTCTTTTTCCCCTCAGACATATACACAAAGACGACATCGACGTTGTCGTTTTTGTCCCCAGACCTCCAATCACACAGACAGAGCGGCGAGTCGGTCTGTTTCCCCTGAGACAAACTACCAGACAGACCTCCGGCGCGTGGTCTTTTCCCGCCGATGGGTACAAATACACAAGAGACATCGGCGGCTGTGTCTTTTCCCCTGAGACAATTACACAGAGAGACATCGCCGCTGTGTCTTTTTCCCCAGAACATACACAGACCAACATCCGGCGTGCTTTTTCTCCCTAGGACAATACACAGACAACATCGGTACTTTCGTGTCTTTTTCCCACTGAAACCAATACACAGACAAGACATCGTATTTGTTGTTTTCCACCCTCAGACCAATACAAGACAGACATCGCGTTTGTTCTTTTCCCTGAGACAATACACAGAGAGACAATCGGCGTCTTTTCCCCTTAGACAATACACAGACAGACATCGTAGAGATAGTACGTGCTCTTTCCCCTGAGACAATACACAGACAGACATCGCGGTTCTTTTTCCCCTGAGACCAACCACAGACAGAACGACGGATATTACGTTCTTTTTCCTACCGTTCCCCTGAAGACAATACACAGGCAGACTCGGTGTCTTTTTCCGCTCTGAGACAATATTATACAGACAAGACATCGCGTTGTCACTTTCCCACTTAGTACATTACACCAGACAACATTCCCGCGCCTTGAAAAACACCAGACGAGGACAATCGCGCGATGCTCTGGTAATATTTAAATTCTCTAAGTCTACCAGACGGACCATAGTAACAATCGTTGTCTTTTTCCCCTGACATACTACACAGCAGATCATCAGGGGTGTCTTTTCCCCTGAGAACAAATACACAGAGAGAAGCATTCGCAGTGTCTTTTCCCCTGTGAGACTTACAACAGACAGACATCGCCGTGTCTTGTTCCCTGAACATTACACAGGCAGACATCCCGGAGGAGTGTGGTCTATTTTCCCCCTAGACAATACACAGAAGACATTGCGGAGGCGTGTCCTTTTTTTTCCCTCAGACATAACACAGACGGACATCGGCCTAGTGGTCTTTTACCCCCTCAAACAATACTACCAGGAGCAGACAGTTAGGCAAGCGTTGCTTTCCCTTTCTCCCATTGGAACAGATACTACAGGACAGACAATAACGTTTTGCCAGTGGCTTTTATCCCCTGTATAGACGCAATACACAGGACAACATTCCGGGAGGATACAGCGGCTCAATGGCATGCGAGCGAAATGCAAGAATAAATTACTATACTGTAAAATAATACGAATAATAAGTCCGTACAGTGTCTTTTCCCAAAATTACACCAGATATACATCGGCGTGTCTTTATCCCCTTAACCAATTACACTAGACAGACATCGGCGGTGTCTTTTTCCCTTGAACAATACACAGAGAGACATCGGACGTGTTCTTTTTTTTTTCTCCCCTTAGACAATACCACAGACAGACATCGGGTGTCTTTTTCCCCTAGGACAAGTAACAGAAGAGACTGCGACGCTAATGTTCGGACACGTGTCTTTCCTGAGACAAATACAATCAGTGCCAGAATCGGGTTTCTTCCTAGACAATACACAGAAAGACACGGTGTTTGTTATAACTGTATAAATGAATGCAGGGACTCTGTATATGAGAGAATACGTAAACGTGTATTCTTTTTCCAGACACATACAAGCAGAGCAGACGGGTGTCTTTTCCCTCCTGACAGACAAACACAGAAACAGGACACGCGTGTCTTTTTCCCCTCAGACAATACCACAGAACAGACATTCGCGTGTCTTTTTTCCCCCAGACAAATACACAGACAGACATCGGCGTAGTCTTTCTCCCCTGAGACCCCAATTATCTACAGACAGAATTGCTCCTGTCTTAATTATCCCCCTAGAAAAAACACTAAGACATGACATTCAGGCTCGGTCTAGTCTTCTATTCTATCATAAATCCGTTGATTCTTATTTCCCCTGAGAACAATTACACAGACATGTACATCTTGGGTTTCTTTCCCCTTAGACAAACACAGCGACAATGAATCACGTTTGTCTTTTCCCTTTAGATAACAATATCACAGATAGACATCCGATTTGTCTTTACTCCCCTTATACAATTACACAACAAACATCGGCGTGATCTTTTTCCCCTGAGACAAGACACAGACAATCATCGTCGTCGTGTCTTTTTCCAACCATATAGACAAATACACAGAGAGGACGATTGGTTTGTTGCTTATTCCCATTCTTAAGAAGACATACAATACACAGACAACATTTCGCGTTGTTCATTTTTCCTCTTCCTGAACAATATACACGAGACAGACATTCGGCTCATGTTATTGTTATATTATCGTTACTTTTCCCCAATACACAGGCACACATCTCGTCGTTGCTCTTTTCCACCTGAGGACAATACACAAAACATCGGCTGTGTTCTTTTTCCCCTTAGAACAATACACAAGAGAGAACATCCGGTTCGTGTCTATTATCCCCTTAGACAATAACAACAGACATCTATCGGCGTTGCTAATCTTTTTCCCCTGAGCAATCACACAGACAGACATCGTTGTTCTTTTTCCCCGTAGACCCAATACACAGACAGACATCGGTGGTCGTTTTTCCTCCATCTTTTAGAACAAATACACAGATGAACATGCTTGTGTCTCGATACCCCTTCAACCTCAAATACACTCACAGACATTCGGCGTGTTCTTTTTTCTCCACTCTTAGGAACAATTTACACAGAGGTAAACTCCACGTTGTTTCTTTATCCCCTGAGACAAACCCCATCATGCAGACATCGCTGGTCGTTTTCCCTGTAGACCAAGACACAGAAGTAGATCATTTGCGGTTTTGTGTTCCTTTAATTCCTTTTTAGACATACACAGACAAGTGAATCGGCGCTCGGCTTTTTTCTTTTTCCCCTTTAGGACAATTACACAGAGAACATTCGTTGTGGGTCTTTATCCCCTTATATCACAATACACAGAAGTACATCGTTGCGTTCGTTCTCCCCCCTTTCTAGATTCTCATATTCTCTACCAGTGCAGTGCATCCTATCCGCCCGGATGCTTGTTGCCTTTTCCATCTCCCTCTTCTACATGTCTTTCAGTAGATCCAGACGTCTCGCTCGCTCTCTCCTCTCTCTCTCTCTCCTCATTATATATATATTTAAATATATACTATATTAGCGTGTGCATTTTCCCCTTTAGCAATGACACAGTAGAAGTAACAGTCTGGTAGGGTGTTGTGTTCTCCCTGTAGACATAGAACACAGAGATAGACAATTCGAGGTGTGTCCCGGGTGTCCCCTGAGACAATAACAGACAACAGCGGTGAGGTCCGGGTGCCTCGGTGAATCAAATTGTTACATCAGAAGGAACATCGTGGCTCGTATCGCCGTGAGTACTTATAGACAATTACAACAGAGAATTCGTCATATAGTATTATACATTACATACATATATATATATTATATAGTATATATATATATATATATATAATATATATAATATATTACTGATATGTGATTATTTTATTTATCGTGTCTTTTTTTCCCCCTATTAACAAACTACATGACAGACATTCGATACTATATATTATATAGTTTCTTTTTCCCCTTTATTAGACATACACAGACAGATCATCGGCTATACTTCAGTGTCTTTTTCCCCTATATATAACTAATATATCAACAACGAGCATATTCAGTGTATATATCTTTATCTCATTAAGACATTACAACAGATCAGACATCGGCGATGTCTTTTTTTTCCCACTGATGAACAATACATCAGACATCATATTACGTCGTGTCTTTATTATCCCCATAGACAATACACAGATAGAGAAACTTACTGATGTTGTCATTTATCCTCCTTATACAAATAAAACACAGACAACTCGCGTGTCTTTCCCCTTAGACAATTACACAACAGAACATCGGCAGATAGTCTTATATCCCCTTAGACCAATACACAGAGATAACATCGGTTTGTCTAACTGTTCTATTATCCCCTTTAACAATTACATAAGTGACAGAACATTCGTGAACTGTCAACTTTTCCCCTTAGACAATACACAGACATAAACATCGGTCGATGTGTATCTTTTTCCCCTGAGACAATACACAGACAACCATCGGCGTGTCTTTTCCCTTAGACAATACACAGACAGACATTTCGGCGTGTCTTTTCCCCTGAGACAATACACAGACAGACATCGGCATGTGTCTTTTTCCCTTAGACAATACACAGACAGACATCGGCGTGTCTTTTCCCTTAGACAATACACAGACAGACATCGGCGTGTCTTTTTCCCCTAGACAATACACAGACAGACATCGGCGTGTTTTTTCCCCTTAAGACAATTACACAGACAGACATCCCGTGTCTTTTCCCCTTTAGACAATACACAGACAGACATCCGCGTTCTTTTTCCCCTTGAGACTAATACACAGACAGACATCGGCGTGTCTTTTTTTCCCAAGACAATACACAGACAGACATTCGCGGCGTTGTACTTATACTAATTGTGTCTTTCCCTTTACAAATTACACAGACAGACATCGGCCGTGTCTTTTCCCCTGAGACAAACAGACAATCATCGGTATATATCGGTCTATTTTTTTCCCGGATAGACAATTACACAGACATACATCGTATTACCTAATATACGTTCTTTTCCCTTAACAATACACAGAACAGACATCGTGACGTTTCTATTAATGTTCCCCTCAGACTAACATCAGACCAGTAACATCGGGGTCTTTTTCCCATGAACAATACAACAGAAGAACATCGCGTGGCTCCTTCTTTCTACCTAGACATTACACAGAACCAAGACATCGGCGTTGTCTTTTTCTTACCCTAGACATTTTAATACTTCAGACATTAATCATTCTTGTGTTGACGTTCTTTCCCTTAGACAATACACAGACAGACATCTACTTCTGTCTTCCCCTGAGACAATACCAGAGAGACTCAGGCGTGTCTTATCTTTCCCTTTAAAATACACAGACAGACAACTCAGCGCTGTCTTCTTTCCCTGAAACAATACACAACAGGACATCGTGTCGTTTTCCCCCCAGACAATACACAACAACATTTTCGGGTTTCTTCATTCCCCATAGACAATACTACAGACAGACATCGGCGTCTTTTTCCCATCATGGAACTAATTACACAGTAGAA